GGGTGTCGTTGGGGACACATTCCTTCTTGTAAAAATAACTGCGGCCTGGGATTACGGGTCCTTGTTTCAAGTGCCGGTGTCTTTCTCGGTTTAATAAGCAGTCACATTTATTTGTCTGTTACTGGAGCCGGGGAAAGAGGCTATTTCTTGGCAGCTCTCCTGAGACCCTGCCCTCCCTTCTCGAAAGGCATTTGGAACACCGGGTTTCTTTTCTTCCTCCTAGACCTGTCACCATCTTTATAGGTGGTCTCATGGAGGGGGTGTGTGTGTGTGGGCATTATTATTCGTAGACAAGGCAGCGGAAATGCAGCAGGAAGCACGAGTTGCAGACTTCTGCCTCTCAAGCACATGACTGGGGTGCCCTGTTGTGGCGCCCGTGTGCACGTGTTTCTTGCAGAACCTGCAGCCTCCTTCAAATGCAGCCCATAATTCAGGGAGACCCACTGAATTTGTCATCAGAATCGGCAGGAAGCGAGTTCTTGGCGTGCAGGAGCTGGCTGTCCTGTGTCCTTTGTCATCCAGCACTCAAAATCGAGAGCCTCTGTGTCCGAGTCCCTGCTTAGTGGAGTGGGTTGTGTGTCCACTCGGAACCTCAGTTTCTTCATCTGTAAAGTAGGTTACTGTCCCACCTCCTGGGTGGCACTGGTGAGTCCCAAAGACAGTGCCTGGGACTTGGCAGGCGTTGAATAAATAGTTGTCATCATCAGGGGAGGGAAGGGGGGGCATTGCTAGTGATCAGTGCCGGTTGTTGTGAACAGCAGGAAGAAGAACGATGGCCTCTTAAAGCACCAAGCTCTTTTTCCCCCTTAAATAGGGTGGAATGAGACAAGCTGCCAGTCTGTCTTTGCCCCGGGTTTAGATACTCAAATACTGACAGGAAGATTTTCATCTGGGTAGGGGCTGCAGCCGCTGATAGTATTCTAATATAAACAAGACAGGTGGGGGTTCCAGAGAAATCCCTGATGGCATTCTTGGTGGCCTCTACAGTTTGCAGTAGTGATTTGCAGCCCCCGCCGCAAGTTAGAATCACGTAGGGGAGATTTCAGGGGGGGAGGAAAAACAAAAAACCTATATGGGAACCATGAACCAAGCCAGAATTGCCCCGGGAAGTGGTGAAGCCAGGCTTCGAGCTGTTTGCATGGCTCTGGGCCTTTCCTGGTCACCATGGAGCTGTTGTATTGCCTCCCAAGATTGTCACTGGGTCACTGCAATGCCTAGTCCCTCAGCCTTGCTGGCTGAGGCCACACAGGGTTGCCAGCACTGTTCATTCTGCGTGGGATTACTCAGAGGTGCGATTACGTGGACGTTAGTTAAGATGTGCGTGCAAAGTGGTGCACGTATATGGTGACAGGGGAGTAGTGCAGAGGCGCTTTTGGAACAGGTGTGGGTTACCTGCATTGTCCCCGCCCCGCAGGGCTCGCTGAGATGTTGGTGGCTTTGAGGGAGGGCTGGGGTCTGTGATGCCAGGAGAGAGTTTGTGCCGGGTAGACAGCCTTGTGTCCCGAATCGCCTTGTGCGGGCCTCCTAGTCTTCCCCGGGGCCAGGCACCTGAAGCCAGTTCTCACAGAGAGAGACCTCCTTCCGGTGGCCCTGCGGAATTGCAGGGCCAAAGCAGGTGTTCCGCGCGGCTTCGATTTTGCCCTTGCCTGGCGGGAGTGGGCCCAGGTGGCTCCTGTACATAAGACGGGCACAGCCTCAGTTCCCTCAGGCAGTCGGAGCTGGGCCCTTCTTGGTCTGCAGCTCTCTGACGGCCGTTACAAACAGCCCCTTCCAGTTTTGTCATCGAAGCATGACTCACCGACGTGTAGAAAAGAACAGAGATGATGTAGCGTCTTCCCCTGAGGTTAGCATCCCGCAGAGCCTCTGGGTAGCAGGGAGCTCGAGGGAGGCGCGGGACCCACGGCAAAGCGTGTCCTTCCAGTGGTTTCTCTCCCAAAGACGAGCTCTGGGCATCAGAGCGGGGCCACTGGCTGCAGTCGAGTGCCTGCATCTGTCCCTGTGTCGCAGCATTATCAGAGAGTTATTAGCACCTTAATCTAGGGTGAATCCAGGGAGAACAGGAGGTGGATCTTGGGGTGCCGGCCTCTCGGCTGAGCTGCGATGGGGACCGGGGCCGGCGTGGGCTCCGGCCGCCCTTCCGGCTTCCACGTGGTCTCCAGAGCACGACCGAGGGTCCCAGAAGAAGCAGCTTGAGCTGTGCTGGTCAGTTTGCAAAAGGGGCGGAGGACGAAAGAGGAATGAGACTCCGAGATTTGGTCAGAAGCATCGGTGGTTTCCTCATCTGCCCGAGACGGAGACTGGCAGGCAGGGTGGAGGACAGACGACGCAGAAACCCTGCAGCGCAGGCAGAGGCTCGGATGTGCGGAGGAAGGGGGCGGTGGTTTATTTGGGTTTGGAATTCAGCTTGAACTCTTGCCCCAGGCTGTTTACTCTGCTGTGTCTGTGCTGGTTTGTTTTTTCCCCTCCCAAAGCGTCTCCTGCCAGAGCAGATTTGTCCCTCCGCTGAGTGGACAGACCTAATCCCCGCTTTGATAAATCAATCAGCTTCGGCCCCTGCCTGCCTGGCGAGGTCCCAGCGGAAGCGTGCGGTGCCCGTGCACAGCTGTGCGCGTGCCACCGCCTCCGCGCGCCCGGGTGCTCTCAGGAGGCGGATGCCCAGCTGTAGGGTGGGCGGGGGATGGGGAGGCACCGCTGGCCTGGGGGAAGGGCCGTGGGTGGGTTGTTTCTGAGCACAAGTGAGGAGCTGTCAGCAGGCGCTGCGGCTTTTCTGATGTGTCAACTGCAGCTGCCAGGGTGACCCTGGATGGGAGGGAGGCTGTCTCTGCACACCCTGGGGACATAGAGAGGCCCCTTGGTGCTTTATTTGGGCCACCCGGGTGCTCCTCACCCCCCGGCTCACCCCGGGCAGCGATAAGCTTCTGTTTTCCAGGAACCTGTTTGCCCCAGGGCCCTTGGAGGCGAAGGCGATGCCAGCCGAGGGCTTTGACCCTCTGCTGGCCTTTCTGCCCATCTCTGCCTGCCGGGAGGGTCTCGGTGGTCCCCAGTGTTAGCCAGGAGACAAAGGCCCTGGGTGTCCACACACCTGCTACACCAGCCCCCCCGGGCTCCAGGTCGGGGAGGTGGATCCTGGAATGAATTGCACGGAGGTGTTTGGACATTGACCTCAGTTTGGGACCGTCCTGGGGTGTCTGGCCTGAGGAGGAGGCTTCCTCTTCAGAGTCGGGGTGGCCTGTCTGTGGGGTGCTGGCTCTCTGCTGCCCCCACAGCCCCCAACCCAAGTTCCCTGCACATCAGGGCCTCTGTGCGAGGTGACCTCTGCCCAGCTCCGTGGTGCAGCTTTCAGAGCTCTCCCTGCAGGCTGTGTGCCCGTGCCCGGGGGTGAGGACGGCGCCAACCATGGCGGCCAGTGGGTGTGGGCGGTGCCACCCTGGCTGGAGCTGGCAGGCGGCTGCGGCTCACAAGCTGGATTGTCACTAGGATGCAGGAGAGCTGGATTGTCACTAGGATGTGGGAGAGCTCACCTGTCACTAGGATGCGGGAGAGCTCACTTGTCATTAGGATGTGGGAGAGCTAGATTGTCACTAGGATGTGGGAGAGCTCACCTGTCACTAGGATGTGGGAGAGCTCACCTGTCACTAGGATGTGGAAGAGCTCACCTGTCACTAGGATGTGGGAGAGCTGGATTGTCACTAGGATGTGGGAGAGCTCACCTGTCACTAGGATGTGGGAGAGCTGGCTTGTTACTAGGATGTGGGAGAGCTCACCTGTCACTAGGATGTGGGAGAGCTGGCTTGTCACTAGGATGTGGGAGAGCTGGCTTGTCACTAGGATGTAGGAGAGCTCACCTGTCACTAGGATGTGGGAGAGCTCACCTGTCACTAGGATGTGGGAGAGCTCACCTGTCACTAGGATGTGGGAGGGCTCACCTGTCACTAGGATGCGGGAGAGCTGGATTGTCACTAGGATGTGGGAGAGCTCACTTGTCACTAGGATGTGGGAGAGGTGGATTGTCACTAGGATGCGGGAGAGCTTGCCTGTCACTAGGATGTGGGAGAGGTGGATTGTCACTAGGATGCGTGAGAGCTCGCCTGTCACTAGGATGCAGGAGAGCTGGGTTGTCACTGTGATGGAGGAGAGCTCTCCTGTCACTAGGATACAGGAGTTCCACAAGAGTCTTGGGGACCAAGGAAGCGCCGGGCCTTCAGTTTCCAGGGTGACTGCTTGTAGCTGCTTTCTGAAGAGCCTCCCTCCCAGGGTCTTGTCTTACTGTGAGTCTGAGCTGCAGGGGACCGTCCTTTAGCAGCGGAAGCCAGGAGGGAGCTCGCGGGCAAGAGCATCTCTGGAGTTTCCAGGGGTGGGGGGTTTATCTGTCCCCTGGGCAGGGAGTAGCGTTCTGCATCCCTGATCTACTTTCATTTGATAAACTCTTACTTTTTAAAATTGCTCACAGAGCAATTTTCTTTCTTTTTTTTTAAAGGCCGCCCAGACCTCTTGTGCAGAGGTTTGGAAGTGATGGCTGTCTCTCTCTCTGTCTCTTGCCCTCGGGGCCCTGGCTCCCAGTCCCAGCCGTGCCTCTGGCCTTATGTTGCATTTGGCCTCCAGGCCCTAGTGCTAACCTCTCCCCCTCCCCTATTAATTTCACACCCCTCCCTCTCTAGCCTCTCGCCCCCCACCCCCATGCAAGGAGTCCCTTCCTACACCCACGGGCGAGCCCCTTTCACCTTCCAGGTGGTGTTAGCAACCAGGGGCCCTGCTGGTTTGGGAACCTGGTATCAGGTTGGGAATTTGGGGCTGGGACTTTCTTTGCAAGTTTAACCTGACAGCGAGGTGCTACTGGTCCTAGGGGGCCATGGTCCCGTTGGATGATAAAATACCTAGGGCTTTGGGATGCGGATGAAATAAAAACTTTGGTGAAATCCTTCGGGGGTTTGTCATGGGGGTGGGACCGTCTGGGGGCTTTGGCACGTGGTGGATGACACTCTTCTCTGTTTCTCTCCCAGCCTGTGGGCCGAAGCTGACCAACTCCCCCACGGTGATCGTCATGGTGGGGCTGCCCGCCCGCGGCAAGACCTACATCTCGAAGAAGCTGACCCGCTACCTCAACTGGATCGGCGTCCCCACAAAGGGTGAGGGGGGGTCCCAGGGCCGGGGCAGCCCCACCCCAAGTCCCATACTGCTGGTTCTCCCAGCAGGACCACTCCCAGCTGGGTCTGTCCCCTCGTGGTGGGGCCCGGGCCCACCTCCCACCTAGCTAGGTCCCCGCCACGCCCTGTCCACACCCTGCCCTTTCTGTTGTTATCCCCAGTGGCCATTCTCCTTCTTCCCACGCCCCTACATCCTGCCCAGCTCGATGTCACCTCCTTTGTGACATCCTTTCTCCGGCCACCTCCCTCGATGCGGGTCTTTTCCTTTAAATTCCCATCACACTCAGGGGTGACCTCCTTGTGCCGGCAGAGGACATGCTTGTGCATCTCTGCCTGGTCTTCCTGACCATGTCAGGAAGCCATGTCCTTCTTGAGCAATGGGAACTAGAGTTTATATTTGCTGTCACCCACCGTGCGCAGGGCAGAGCCGGGAACTGGGTATGACACTCGGTCCCCGGCCACTGCAGGAGGACAGCTGCCGTAGACTCGGCAGAGGGCGTGAGACCCCACTCGCTCTGCGATGCTGTTGGTGGGAATGGTTGTCCCTGTTTTTCATACACCCTTGGCCACCCCCGTTCCTACGGTCATGGTCTCTGGTCTGAGCCTGGGATTGGAGACTGGTCGGGGCCATGTGGCTCCACCTGGGAGGGGTGGCTGGGCTGCTCCGTCCTGCCGCATCCGGGAGCGGTGGTGGCCCCAACCCGGGGTCCACACCGTGGCTTCCCTGTCGCATCCTCATCTTACTGCAACCGGCCTCGGTGGGCCGGGTGGCTCTTCCTTTGGTCGGGAGCGGGAGTTGGCCCCTGCCTCCCATCTGGCCACCCACGGCTGTCCTTGTGTTCCCGCCCGCAGTGTTCAACGTGGGCGAGTACCGACGGGAGGCCGTGCGGCAGTACAGCTCCTACGACTTCTTCCGCCCCGACAACGAAGAGGCCATGAAAGTCCGAAAGTAAGGCAGGCCGCGGCGCGTGCAGGTTGGCTTCGTTCGCAGGCTAGCTCTGCAAGAGCAGGAGGACGCCGGCCTGCGGCGCGGCCGCCAGAGCTGGCCGGCGTGGGGACGGGTCTCTGGGCCTGAGACCCGCTGCCTTGCTCTGTCCCCCAATGGTCCAGCCCAGCTGGTGACAGCCCGGCAGCCAGCGACCACCTCTCAGTGAGAGTGGGCGAAGTCCTTTTCGTCGGAAGCGCCTGTTTACCTTTGAAAAGGACTTTGTCACGAGGGGGGGGTCACGAAACCCTTGTGCAATAGCGTTTAGACCTGGCTGCACGTCCGAGTCACTTGGGGGGCTGGTTAAGCCCCCCATGCCAGGCCCCTCCCCCCTCACCAGCTCGGGGACACTCTGTGGGTGGCCTTGGGCTCCCCGAGGGCACGTTCCCCAGACACCAGCACCATCTCTGGCGGGACCTGCAGCCACCCACGCGGGGCCTTAGGTCGGAAGCCTCTGTCTGGCCAGCCCGGCCGGCACGGAGCACTTTGTGCATAGCGTGGCCAGTGGGTGTGTCGAGGCGTGTGACTCCGGGTGCTTGGGCCTCCCCGGGGGATGGGCCCCCGCTGACGTGAGCTTCTCTTTCCGTGTGCTGCAGGCAGTGTGCCTTAGCCGCCTTGAGAGATGTCAAGAGCTACCTGGCAAAGGAAGGGGGGCAAATCGCGGTAAGTCTGGGGGGTGCAGCCGGCTCCGGCTCCAGTCCCGTAGCAGGAGGGCGGTGGCCTTGCTGGCCTGGGCACTGCCAAGAGTCACCGAGGGGTACCGGAACAGGGACACGTGCCTCCGGCTCTGAGGGTGGAGGGAAGCAGAGTCAGAGATGCCCAGTGACCCAGGAGGGCCGTCGGGGGTCGGGGGTTGGGGGTTGGACTCTGGACTCTTATCCCGACCAGGGCGGGCAGGGCCCTTCTGTGTGTGCCTCCGGTGCCCCATACCATCTGCAGTTTGCTTTCGGGGCCGTCCCCGAGTGCTATAGTTACTGGGCTCGCCCCTGGAGAGGCCCGTGGGTGAGCATACTCCCCCTGAAAGTGCATTTTGGGGCTTATTCCTGGAAACGACAGGTCTGGCTTCCCCCCCCGGGGGTTTTAGAAAATTTTGTTAAATGCAAGCTTAGGTTCCTCTCTCTCTGGCTCTCCCTTTGTCCTGTCAGGTTTTCGACGCCACCAATACTACTCGAGAGAGGAGACACATGATCCTTCACTTCGCCAAAGAGAACGACTTCAAGGTGAGCCAGGTTTCCCGCCTTGCCCCGGAGAGCTGGGGGGTGGGGGAGCACAGAGCCGATTCCCCGACTCCTGCTTGGTCCTTCGCCTCTGAGTTTTGGCGGCTACAACTGGGGCCTGGCGCCAGGACCCGTGGGTCTGGGGAAGTGGGTCTTTGGCGTCCCTGGGGGTTGATGATAGCCGGTGTCCTTCCTCCCCGCAGGTGATGACGAGAGCAGGCCCACGGCACAGTTGGCGCTTCCTGGGGTTCGTTCTTTTCTAACTCTCCTGCCTTGCTTCCTCTAGGCCTTTTTCATCGAGTCTGTGTGTGACGATCCCACGGTTGTGGCCTCCAATATCATGGTAAGAAACCCCAGGAACCCCCACTCTTTCGAGGCAGCTTGGGCCTCGAGGACGTTTGCGGTCTCGGGAAGCGGGCGGCCGGGTCCGGCGCGGAGAAGTCACTAAACCGTTGGAACCAGCTGCCCCCCAGCTTGCTGGCGGCTGTGTCCCAGACGTGGGGCGCTCACGGTGGTGTTTCACCCGGAGGCCTGCCCTGCCACGGGCTGGCTCTGCCCGGGGTCTCCGGGGAGACGGTGCTCAGGCTCGGTTGGGACCAGAGCAGGTTCCGTTGGCGGCAGGAACTTGGCAGCCGGGTGGTGACGGAGCTGTGTGGACACAGGGTCCGCTCACGCCCGTGCCGGGATGGGACAGCAGGCTGGTCTCTTGCTGTCACGCCTAGGGGGCAGGGATTCTCTCGTGTTGACGAGAGTCTGCAGGACTCGGCAAGCTGGCTGCAAGGTCCCCAAGTTCAGGAGGAAGGAGGGACGCAAAACTCTCTTCTTGCTGTTGCATCTCATGAACCGCTGCATGGGGGTGGGGAGCCTGCCTGGATTCATTGAGGGCACTTGAATGAACATTCAAGAATTTGATTAATTCTTGAATGTTATCACCTTATAACAATGTGTCCGATAAACAGGAACGGTTGTTTTGGAGACTTAACCACAGGTCACCTTCTCCCGGTGGGGATAAGTTTCTCACCAGCTTAAACAGAAGAGAATAAGGCGTATCTACAAGGCAGAGTGGCTCTGAACACCTGTTCGCCAAGAGCTGTGGGGCTCTGCATATTAGCACCGTGTTTCCCCAAAAATAAGGCGGGGTCTTATATTTATTTTTCTTCAAGAAGAAACCCTAGGGCTTATTTTCAGGGGATGTGTTATTTTTTTTGAAGTACGGTACAACAGTCTACATTGATTCATTTATAGAGTTAAGTCGTCTTCTTCTGGAACATCATCATCACTCTCCAGACCCCAAATCCCATCCTGAATGTCTTGCGACTCTATTTCCTTTAGAGTCATCGGCCCCAATCTCTCCTGTCGAGCAACAGAGCTCTCACGGGGCGGATGAGAAGGGCTGCTCGTCTTCTTTCCCGCTCCGCGACGACACGCATGGGTTGTGCAGACGCGCTGCGCAGCCACGCCCGTCACTAGGGCTTATTTTCAGTGTAGGGCTTCTTATTGTGCAAACGCTTAGCAATCCTGCCGGGGCTTATTTTATGGGCAGGCCATATTTTCGGGGAAACACGGTACTCATCTTAAAGCGGAATGCTAAGGATGCATTGGCGTCTCGCCTTTTCTCTAAGGCAGTGGCAATGGTTACAACCATTTCTAAGAAACGGGTTCGTGTTTCAGGGAGGGCTGTTGGAACTGTGAAGAATCAGTTCACACTTGCTGGGTGGGTCCGAAGGAAGGGGCCCGTAGTGTGGGGAAACAGAGTCACAGTCATCTGAACAGAAGGTCTGCCCTGTTTCTTTGGCGTGGCCGCCCGGGTTCCCCTCGGTAGGGTAGCAGAGTGCAGCTGTGACACGGTGTTTTGCCCAGCGAGGAGTCACTGATGTGCTCAGCTAGGAGTTTGTCGTGTCTGGGAGTCCATTCACACAGAGAGCCGTTCGCCCCAACCCTTCACGTCCAGAAATCTCTTTCTCTGATTAAACCTCAACGTGGTCTTGCAGGGTAGGCCCCGGAATTTGCGAGCTTAGGTACTTGTTTTATTGCAGCAAAATATGCACAACATGACTGACCATCTTAAGCGTTTGTAAGTGTGCAGTTTGGTGGCTTTAGCTACGTTGCTGTGGGCGGGCAGACATCGCCACCATCCGTCCCCAGAACTTTGTCATCTTCCCTGCCGGAACCTCTGTGCCCATGACACACTGACTCAGATCTTTGGGTTTTTTTTTTTTGTTTGTTTTGCTTTTTTTTTTTGAGACAGAGTCTCACTCTGTTGCCCAGGCTAGAGTGCCGTGGCGTCAGCCTAGCTCACAGCAACCTCAGACTCCTGGGCTCAAGCAATCCTCCTGCCTCAGCCTCCCGAGTAGCTGGGACTACAGGCATGCGCCACCATGCCCGGCTAATCTTTTTCTATATATTTTCAGTTGGCCAATTAATTTCTTTCTATTTATAGTAGAGATGGGGGTCTCGCTCTTGCTCAGGCCGGTCTCAAACTCCTGACCTTGAGCGAGCCTCCTGTCTCAGCCTCCCAAGAGTGCTAGGGTTACAGGCGTGAGCCACCGCGCCCCGCCTGACTCAGGTCTTTTAAGAGCAGCTGCTTCCCAGCTGTGGCAGCTGCTGATGGGAAAGAGAGCCGGGCATGGAAACCTGCTGAACTTCCTGCACGTCTGCTGGGTGTCTCGGACCTGCTTGGCAGCAGGCGTCTGCAGACCCCCGGGGTGGTTCCTGCTCAGGCCCCAGCTAGGAGGGCAAGCCCCGGGGAGGAGCGGGCAGGGCTCTAGTTAGAGAGAGAACCACAGAGCAGTCGCGCCCGGCTGCCGCCGTCTGGGCGGCCGGAGGAGGAACCAGGCGAGACGGGGCGTCACCAGCAGCTGCCAAGCGCACCTTGCAGCTGACAGGCAGCTCCTCTCGGTGCAGGGACATTGCAGGTGCTCAGCCCAGTGGCGGGTCAGGTTCTCCGGTGGGGACTCAGGTGCTAGACTGACCCCGACTCTCCGGTCCCATGCAGAGGTGTTTGTCTGGAATCCTCCTGGGTCCCGCCGTCTCTGCCCTTCTGGTCGGCCACCCTCCGTCCCCCCACCCCCACCCCGGGGGTGTCCTGCCCGAGTAACATCAGGCCACGGCCCCTCCCCCACAGTCTGTCTCTTTTTTCCCCCCTTAAACGCCGGGCGGGATAATCTTTATCCTGAGCCCTCGTGCTTTCCCCTTTTGAAAGCCCCAAATCCTGCTTAATCTCGGCAGAAAGCCTTCCAGCGTGATTCATCAGCTGCCTCTTTGTGGCTTTGCAGGAAGTTAAAATCTCCAGCCCGGATTACAAAGACTGCAACTCGGCAGAAGCCATGGACGACTTCATGAGGAGGATCGGCTGCTACGAGGCCAGCTACCAGCCGCTGGACCCCGACAAGTGGGACAGGTAACTCCCGGGGCCGCCCCTCGTCTGCGTGACCTGCCGGCGAGTTTAGTGTTTTCCTGGTGCTCCTCCTTTAAATCATTTGCTCCTGGAAACCTTTCTGAATGCTCATTGGAAATGTCTTTTTTTTTTTTTTTTTTTTAATTTTTTTTGGAGACAGAGTCTCACTCTGTTGCCCGGGCTAGAGTGAGGGCCGTGGCGTCAGCATAGCTCAAACTCAGCAACCTCCAACTCCTGGGCTCAGGCGATCCTCCTGCCTCAGCCTCCCGAGTAGCTGGGACTACAGGCATGCGCCGCCATGTCCCGCTCATTTTTTCCATATATATTTTTAGTTGGCCAATTAATTTCTTTCTATTTTTAGTAGAGACCGGGTCTCGCTCTTGCTCAGGCTGGCCTGGAACTCCTCAGCCCAAACGATCCTCCTGCCTTGGCCTCCCAGAGTGCTGGGATGACAGCCGTGAGCCACCGTGCCCGGCCCGGAAATGTCTCTTAACAAAAGTCCTCGTTGACAAGCCACAGTCAGTCAGCGTGGGTATTTCAGAAGGACAGAAGCTGATGTCCCGCAGCGCCCAATCTTGCCGCCGGACTGTTGATAGTTCCTTTATTTTCTTTTCCATTTTGTTTCTTTTTTCTCTTCTGGGAGGCCAGCCGGCCTCGGGAGCAGCCGCGTGCTGGGGGAGCGCGGCGTGCTCACCCCCTGCCACAGTTCTGGCTCTTCTTGTGCCGTCGGGGGCGGGGCACAAGGCCTGACGGGGTCCTCGGTGCGCCTCCCCGCAGGGACCTGTCGCTGATCAAGGTGATCGACGTGGGCCGGCGCTTCCTGGTGAACAGGGTGCAGGACCACATCCAGAGCCGCATCGTGTACTACCTGATGAACATCCACGTGCAGCCGCGCACCATCTACCTGTGCCGGCACGGCGAGAACGAGCACAACCTGCAGGGCCGGATCGGCGGCGACTCGGGCCTGTCCAGCAGGGGCAAGAAGGTGGGCGAGGGGCCCGGGGGGAGGCCGCTCCGGCCCTGGGGCCATCTCAGCGGGTTCTCGGGGTGGGTGGCCGGTGTGTGTTCTGCTGCTGTTGCCTCAGTGTGCTCACCTCCTGCATGTGTGTGTGTGCACCTGTATGTGTGTGCTCACTGTGTGCCTGTGTGTGTGTATGTGTGCACCTTATGTGTGCTCGCTGTGTGTGTGCACCTGTGTGCGTTCACCGTGTGCGTGTGTGTATGAGCACATGTATGTGTGTGCACCTGCATGTGTGTGCTCACCGTGTGCGTGTGTGTGGGTGTGTGTATGTGTGCACCTGTACGTGTGCTCACTGTGTGTGCACCTGTATGTATGTGCTCACCGTGTGTGTGTGTGTGCACCTGTATGTGTGTGCTGGCTGTGTGTGTACCTGTGTGTGTGTGCTCACTGTGTGCGTGTGTGTGGGTGTGTGTATGTGTGCACCTGTGTGTGTGCTTACTGTGTGTGCACCTGTATGTGTGTGCTGGCTGTGTGGCATGTGTGCACCTGTGTGTGTGTGCACCTGTGTGTGTGCTCACCGTGTGTGTATGCACCTGTGTGTGCTCACTGTGTGTGTGTGCGCCTGTATGTGTGCTCACTGTGTGTGTGTGCACCTGTATGTGTGTGCTCACCGTGTGCGTGTGTGTGTGTGTGTGCACCTGTGTATGTGCACGCACAAGAGTGCATTGCAGTGGGGACTGAGAGAAGAGCCGAGCCCCCGGGCTGTGGGGAGGGTGTGTCCTGTGGGCCGGCCATCCAGGTGGCTGTCGGGTACCCAGCACCTACCCAGGGTGGTGCACGGTCGGTCCCTCGTGGGCTGCCCTGCCCCAGCCTCCAGTAGGAGGCGAGGGACACTGGGGTCGGGGCCTGTCCTCCCGGGACCGTGCGTCAGGCCTGTCCCCACGCTCTCAGTTTGCCAGCGCCCTGAGCCAGTTTGTGGAGGAGCAGAACCTGAAGGGCCTGCGGGTGTGGACCAGCCAGCTGAAGAGCACCATCCAGACGGCCGAGGCGCTGAGGCTGCCCTACGAGCAGTGGAAGGCGCTCAACGAGATTGACGCCGTGAGTCCCGCGGGCGCCGGGGCGGGCGGGTGTGCAGGGCGGCCTCGCCTGCCCTGAGAGTCCTCAGACCAGGCCCCTGGGGCCCTCCAGTGACCGGCTGGGGTCCCTGCAGGGCGTCTGCGAGGAGCTGACCTACGAGGAGATCAGGGCCACCTACCCCGAGGAGTACGCGCTGCGTGAGCAGGACAAGTACTACTACCGCTACCCCACCGGGGAGGTGAGCGGGGCGCCCACCGTCGGGGTCGGGGGCCGGGTGGCTGTCCCCGCACTGAACCCGGGCGCGGCCCCGGGAGAAGCCTGGTCGTGTTTCCCCCGAGCAAAAGCGAGAGGTGGGAGTCTCTGGGGGGGTGTAGAAGGGCTCGGGGCAGACGGGGGACGGTGCACAGGGGTGCACGGCTGGCGAGGACGTCCCCAGGCTGCAGGGAGGGGGCCGTGAGTCCTGGTGGGCCCAGTGGGCCGCTGCCTGGACCACGGGTGGAGCGTGGGCACGCTCGTGAATCTGGGCTGTGGCCAGCCGGGTGTGTTGTCACCGGCAGGTCCTCCCCGTTTGCATCCTCGAAGCCCCAGCCCCGCCCTGTGAGCCGGCTGCTGTCCTCTGGCCTCACCCACCGGGACCCGGCATAAGGGGCCGAGGGCCTGGCGTGAGCAGAGCGGAAGCCCTACTGGGCGCGGCCCTGCTCCTTGCTTTCCCGTTGTTTAATTGGCACGAAACTCACAGAACACAACAGTCACCATTTCACCCGTGTCCAGGCACACAACAGCTCAGCGGCTGTTGGTACATTTGCCATGTGCCAGGCAATTGTGACCGCTGACTCCAGGGCGTCTCCCGGACTCCAGAGAGAACCCCTGACCTGCCGCCGGCACCCCCTCCCCCGCCCCAGCCCCGGGCCAGCCTACCAGGAATCTGCTTCCTGCATCTGGGAATTTGCCTATTCCGGGCATTCCATGCAAATAGGGTCAGACGCCCCGCGTGGCCTTTTGTGTCAGGCCTCTTTCTCGCAGAATAAAGGTGTCAGGGCTTGTTCGCATCTCAGTGGGCGCCAGGGGGCTCCGTCCTGTCTGTGCTGGGCAGTGTCCCTTGTAGACACCCCCTCCCGGTGGTTGGTGGTTGATGGCGGGCTGGGTCCGGGTGAGCTCTCCGGACGGCCCGCTGGGAGGCTGTGGCCCGGGCAGAGGCCCCCGGACCCCCGCCCTGCGCTGACGCGGCGGCCCGCCCTGCCCTCAGTCCTACCAGGACCTGGTGCAACGCCTGGAGCCCGTGATCATGGAGCTGGAGCGGCAGGAGAACGTGCTGGTCATCTGCCACCAGGCCGTGCTGCGTTGCCTGCTGGCCTACTTCCTGGACAAGAGCGCAGGTGCGCGGGGCCGGCCGCGGGGAGGAGGGAGGAAGGCCACGGCTTTTGGGGGGGGGAGCAGCCACAGGCCAGCCATTGTGGATCATGGCGGTGGGGACAGCCCTGCCCCTCAGCTCTGTCTAGGGAACAGGCAGCCCGGAAAACTCCAAATGTCCGATTAACCGTGAGGCCTGTGTCTGTCCGAGGCTTAGCCGATCCGAGGCAGACGTAGATTGTCTCGGGGCATGGCTGTTCCGTTGCGGCTCCACCGCGCCGTGGGAGGGTGGGTGCTCCGGTGGCTCGGGTCTTTTCCCAGGACCAGGTGCCACGCAGGACTCCCCGTGGGCTGGGCCGGGCGCCCCTACCAGGTGGGGCTTCTGGGGGCCCTCGAGTGGCCGGAGCTCGCTCTCGCAGTGACGTCCCTCCCCCCATGCCCTGTCTGACGGTGGCTGCTGTCTCTTTCAGAGGAGATGCCCTACCTGAAGTGCCCCCTTCACACGGTCCTGAAGCTGACGCCCGTCGCTTACGGTAAACAGCGGCCCCCACCCAGCCCTGACCCCCCAACAGACGGTGGCTCCCGGTGGTGGCCGTGGGCTGCGGGCCGGGCCGGCCTTTCTAACAGGAGCCCCACCTGCGCCCGCAGGTTGCCGCGTGGAGTCCATCTACCTGAACGTGGAGTCCGTCAGCACCCACCGGGAGCGGTCGGAGGTGAGCGAGCCCCCGCAGCACCCCGTCCCATCCCATCCCGTCCTGGCGTCTGTCCCCCTTGGGCCCTTGGGCAATTTCTCGACTGGTCAGCTGCAGGGCCAACCTGTGTGTGTCCCGGCGCGCCCGGCTGGCCGCTGTCTTTCCGTGGCTTCTTAGCATAAACCCTTTTTCCCCCTTCCTGCGCTCTCTTCTCCGCCGGCCCCGTCTGCTTGGCCCAGGGAGCGCGTGTTAAAGAGGGAGCTACGTGTGTCCTGCTTCCAGCCGTGACCGTAGCACGGCCATTGTTGCCTTCCCTTCCAGGCAGCTAAGTCCGTGCTGTCAAGCCCCGGGTTACTGGCTCACACAGGATCGGCAGAGCAGCCCCGTCGCCTGCACGCACTTAGGTACCGAATCTCCAGGCACAGGTGGTGCCGAGCCAGGCAGTGGCGCTGGAGAGCGGGGGCCGGAGGTGGCGGGCGGGAGGGTTTCTCAGGGGGCCCCCGAGGCCTAGTGGCGGCAGCTGGTTTGCACCTCAGGGAGGCCCGAGATTTGGGGCTCAGTCCGGCCGAGCTTTCCCGAGCAGACTGGATTTCTGCACGGCGTGAAGCGGGTTTGAATTCTTGCATGCAAGCCATCAAAGCAGGACGCTCTGCCAGCGCTAGTCAGACCTCCTTTGCCGAGTGTGGCTTTTCTGTTGCTGGAGTTCCCGAGACAGGTGGCTCCTCTGTTCCATAAGGAGCGTGGCCGTCGGATCTTGGTGTCGAGGGCGTGAGAGGCAGTGGCCCGGCTGGCGGGCTGACCTCAAAGAGGACGGTGTCCCCGGCGTCCTTGCTGGCCGGCCACACGTCCCCTTCTGCACTCAGGCCACTAGGTGCCACGCTCCCTTTAGCCGCACGAAGACAGCTCCGGCCAGGGCAGGGCTTGGGTCCGGGGAGCTTGCCTGCAGGATTCCCGTGACGCCATCACTCCCGGGGGGCTGGCGTCTGTCTGGTGCTGGCCGGCAGCCTCTGCCCCTGCCGCTTCCCCGTGCCTTTGGTCTCCACGGAGGTTTCGCAGCCTCCGTGCCCCATCCTAAGCCAGGTGTCGTTACGTGGGCACGGACGGGGCTGTGCTCTGCAGATCCTGGCCGAAGGGAGTCGGCGCCGGCCTCCTCCCTGTCCGGGGGCCTCGGACCCAGGCCTCGCCCTCCACGCTCCCCTCCTCGGTGGCGGGACACGGGAGGCTGGGCTCTCTCTCATCTCTGATCCTGCCGTCAGCCGCGATCGCCGCCACTTCCCTCCCTGCCTTGCACGCGCTGTGTTTGTCCGTCCACGTGGGCGTCACTTGGGGAAGGGGCACGGGAGGGACGCGCCGCCCCGTTCTGGCTGCCCGGGAGTCACGGCACGCTCAGCCGTGCCGCACACCCTGCAGCCACACGGCACACGCGGCAGCTACGTCGCACACACGCCGCACACGCGGATGCCTCAAACCCAGGAGCCGAGGACCATTTTTCTTGCCTCCTTTTCCTCCCCTCCCTTGTAACTGTCGCCTTCCCTCTTTTGTCTTTGTCTTGCTTAGGATGCAAAGAAGGGACCTAACCCGCTCATGAGGCGCAACAGTGTCACCCCGCTAGCCAGCCCCGAGCCCACCAAAAAGCCGCGCATCAACAGCTTCGAGGAGCACGTGGCCTCCACCTCGGCCGCCCTGCCCAGCTGCCTGCCCCCCGAGGTGCCCACGCCGCTGCCCGGACAAGTCAGTGCCTCCCCTCCTCCTGCCTGCCGGGGCGAGTGCCGGGGCGGGGGTGGCGGCCTCAGGCCGGGGCCGTGTGTGTCCGTGGGTCTGCACGTGAGCACGCATAGGTGTCCGTGTGGTGTGCGAGTGTCTGAGTGTGCACGTGTGGGTGTCTGAGTGGTGTCATGTGTGCGTGTGTTGGGGGTGAGCACATGTGGGTGTCTGTGTGTCTGGGTGTGCATGTGTGGGTGTCGTTGTGGTGTGCATGTGTGCACGTGTGTGCATATCTGTGTACACTGTGTGTGCGCACGTCTGCACGTATATGTGCATGCACACTTGTGCGTGTGTGTGCATGTGTGCGTGTGTGCATGTGTGCACATGTGTGCGTGTGTTGGGGCGAGCATGAGAAAGGAGCACCCTCTGGAGTGAAGTCACCAGGGTCCTTCCTCGCTGTGACCGCGTCACGTCCTCTCTGGGGACGAGGCCTCCCTGGGCGGAACCGGGCAGAGCCGGAGAGCCAGCGAGGCGTCCAGGCCCCGCTTAGGGTCACGGATCGTCATTTCTAAAATGGAGAAGGCACTGTCTTCTCACACGCCCGGCGGTCCCCGGCCTCCCATACCCCGTCAGCGCCGGGAGCCCTCGCAAACGAGAGGCGCAGAAATCTGGGGGCTCAGATTCAAATTCGGGGAGTGCCGAGGGTGTCCCCAGCCCTGCCCCAGTCCTGGCCCCTCGACTCACTTCCAGCCGAGCTTCCTTTGGGTTAGTCCTCTGCTCGCCGCCGGCGCCAGCTCGGGCCTTCCTCTGCGGCCGCTCGCCTTCCCGCCTTCTCGGAGCTTCCCCAGACCTGGGATGGGGGACGTTCCTGGAGTGTGACTTGGGGGGCGCAGTGGCCCAGTGCTCCCACCCGGGAGACGCCGGCCGGCCGCACAGGGCAGGTCTGCCCGCTGTCAGGCGCGTGGGAGGGTGCACAGGTGAGGTGAGGCGCCAGCGCCCAGCTGGGCGAGACCCCGTGCAGGTCTGGGTGCAGCGTGAGCAAAGCCACAGTCGCCAGGGTCCCCCCCCTGCCCGGCCCTGGCCCCTCAGCGTCACCCACGCCAGGCGGGCGGGCGGGCGGGGCCGGGACGTCTCCCAAATACTCTCCTCCGAGGTCTCAAACTCGAGGTGCTTTTTTGTGAAAACAGAGCAGGACCGAAATGGCATGTCTGTGACAGTCTGTCCTGGTGTCACCGTGGGGTCGTAGTTGAAAGTTCAGGGGTCGTTGCTGTGATCTTGAGGGGACCAGCGCGGCGTGTGGCGGGCCCGTCCCACTGACTTCTCTCTGCTTCCTCCCCGCAGCCATTGCTAGGGCAGGCCTGCCTGTAAGTATCCCTCGGGTCGTGTCCGCTGCCTGCCCCGCTTCTCGCTTGCCGGTTTGTCTCCCCCCGTTCAGTCACCGGGGATAAGGACGGTCGCTATAAAGTCCGAGATCTTCGGGGGGGGGGGGGATGAGGAGGAAGGAAGGGGCTACTCGTGGGTTTTTTTAGAAAAGGACTCTGAGGTCACAGCGGCCCCGCTGACGTTCAGCGTGTTCTGACGCTGCCGCAGCCCCATAGCTGGCTTCTCCCCGTCCCGCTGGGGGCTCTGGGGTGTCGTTTGCAACAGCCGTGTTTTGGGGCTCGGCTTGGATCCGCCTCTGCTCTCCCGGCATCGTGTCTGGGCATCGGGCCTGGCCTATTTCTGCTGCCATTCCTCGCAGCCCAAGGTCTCCTGGAGCTTGCTTGCATGTGGACAGGAGAACTCACCCAGAGCCCCATCTGCAAAGCCATGTCTGAGGACGTAGTGCCCTGGTGGGAGGGTGGCCAGGCCGGAGCGCTCTGCAGAGTGCCATGTGGGGACCGTCCCGTGGATCAGTTGTTCCGTGTCAGTCCCGTGTGGTCTCCCCTTCCCCGGGCCTGGAGCCTTCTGCAGAGAGTCTCTAGTCTGTCCAGCCACCGGCTGCATAACTCAGTGGTCCGTTGCCCTGGAGCCCCCACCCCCAGGAGCCGAGGCCTGCCTGCCACGGAGCTTTGGTGACAGCACCGCAAAATGTCACCCCCCCACCCCTCAAGTCACACCTGCCTGTTAGTCATTTCTCGCTCATCAGGCTCCCCCCGAGAAGCTGGGAAGGGAGGCAGGTGCCTGGAGTCCAGCGGTGTTTGCATTGTGCTGAGGTGGTGGTGGCATCTCGCGTTGTCACCTCCCAGGGCTGTGCTCACTCGGTGGTGGCCTGGCCATCAGTGTCCACCTTCAAAGAGTGAGACTCACGCTCTGACAGGCCGGTGCCCGTCACCCCCTGAACCAGAGCGTGGGTCTGCGTTAGAGTTAGGGTTAGGGTTGGGGTTCTCCCGTGTGACACCAGCCTTTGGGTTTGGAGCCTGCGGGTTTTGCCGCCGTGCGTGTGTCCTGGTCCTTCCGGCCCATGGCCTGATGCTGCCAGGAAACAAATCTCCCTGCTGGGAGGGTCCATTTGGGGACCTGCCCTGCCCTGCCCTGCTAAAGGCGACCTTGCCTGTGGCCAGAGCCCCTCCAGCCCCACGAAAGTGCGTCCCCCCGACCCAGCACACCCCGGGCCCCAGCGTCCCTCCTAGCCGGGGACTGTGACCTCGGCTGGGGCCGTAGCTTCGTCTGACCTGAGCCCTGTGACCAAAACTTGTGACTCGGGTCAGACCGAGTTGGGGTCTCATGCTGGCTCTTCTGTTGGTCTTTGGACCTCTGGGCGCGTTTAAGCAATCCCAGGACCTTAACTTCTGTAAAGTGGAGATAATGGCTTGACAAGGTGTTTTGATGAAGAATGAGAGTATGACATATGACTTAGCAAAACAGCCGACCCCAGTCAGTGCCTGGGGGACAGAGCTGCCGGGACCACGGGGAGGGACTCGGTGCCCTGGGGTGGTCAGGTCTGCACGTGGCTGTCCTGCTCCTTCCGTACCACGGCCCACGGGGTTGCTGGAGCTCTCAGACTTGGGAGGGGGACAGCCCCGGGGCTGTGATGCCGGCGATCTCGGTTTCCTGGTAGAACGGGGACGTCAGCCCGGACGTCCGCCCTCTGCAGGCGTCCTCCCGGGGCTGTGCCGGCTGCTTGAGGTCGAGAGAGACCAGCTGGCATTCATGCTACAGCCTTGATTTTTATATTTCCAATGCACACGGGAAAGAACATCCTAGTAAAAGTTTTTTTCTTTTTCTTTTTTTCTTTTTTTCCTTTTGCAACCTGTGTCTTCCTCTTCCCCACTGTGCTTGAAAGACGAACTGTCTGTCACATTTTCTCAAAGTTTTCTCCCTACTGACCCTGCGAAGGTAAATGCCCCGAGTGCATGCGCCCGCCCCTCCCGCGTCTCCCGGGGGCCGTGGCATCGCGGTCCGTGTGCAGGGCGGCCGGCGTGCAGTCTGTGGCTCGTTGTCTCGGCGCGCGGGGTGCCGGGCTCCGTGCCGTCATCGGCGTGGGCTGCTTTCTGGTCTGTGTCCTCTCACTGCCGTGTGCGTCCTGAGCTGGGGGCCCCCGCGTGAATGAGGGGGGGCGGTACTCGGCGCCCGGGCCCTCCAGTGTCGCTGCATCGCTGTTGTCTGTGGGCGCCGGCAGCTGGGGAGGGAACGGGCAGCCCACTCCGCCCCGAGACCTGGCTGTTTAGGCGATCTCGGTTTCGCTTAGGCTGTCGCTTAGGCGTGAGGGTCCGGGGCGCTCCCGGGAGACCCACCGGCCCACAGTGGCGTCCGCCACCTGGTTCCCAGGTGGGTCCCGTCCCACCTGGGCAATCGCTGCGGAGCCACGAGATTCTCCTCCGGGGGGGGGGGCGGGGGCGTCTCCAGCCGTGGACCCTGGGGTCCGCACGGGGTGGGGGTGGGCTCCGTGCCCTCCCCGACCCCCTTCCGAACGGTCTTGGCGGAGACCTGCAGGGCTGCAGAGAGCACTCTTAAAAATTGTGTGGTTTTTCTTTAATTTTTTTCTGAGACAGAGTCTTGCTTGCTCTGTCGCCCAGGCTAGAGTGCCGTGGCGTCAGCCTAGCTCACAGCAACCTCAAACTCCTGGGCTCAAGCGATCCTCCTGCCTCAGCCTCCCGAGTAGCTGGGACTACAGGCGTGCGCCGCCACCATGCCTGGCTGATTTTTTTCTCTATATATTTTTCGTTGGCCAATTAATTTCTTTCTACTTTTTTAGTAGAGACGGGGGTCTCGCTCTTGGTCAGGCTGATCTCCAACTCCTGACCTCGAGCGATCCTCCTGCCTCGGCCTCCCAGAGTGTTAGGATTGCAGGCGTGAGCCACCACGCCCAGCCAAAAATTGTGTGGTTTTTTTAACTGTGGGGTAAAGAGGTTGGGGAAAGAGACCCCTGCTGTGCGATGGCAGCAATCATGTGTCCCGGGCTGATTTAAGAATTTTTTTTTTTTATTCCTTTATTTATTTATTTTTTTCCATTTTCAGTTGGCCAATTAACTTTTTTTTTTTTTTTAGTAGAGATGGGGTCTCGCTCTTGCTCAGGCTGGTCTTGAACTTCTGAGCTCAAACGATCCACTCGCCTCGGCCTCCCAGAGAGCTGGGATTATAGGCGCGGACGCCTGGCCTAAGAATTTTTTTTTTTTTTTTGAGACAGAGTCTCGCTTTGTTGCCCGGGCTAGAGTGAGTGCCGTGGCATCAGCCTAGCTCACAGTAACCTCAAACTCCTGGGCTTAAGTGATCCTCTTGCCTCAGCCTCCCCAGTAGCTGGGACTACAGGCATGCGCCGCCATGCCCAGCTCATTTTCTCTCTCTCTCTCTCTATATATATTAGTTGGCCAATTAATTTCTTTCTATTTATAGTAGAGACAGGGTCTCGCTCTTGCTGATTTAAGAATTTTTTTAAGGGGGTTTTGAGACCTGCCGGTGCCTTAGGGCTGGGGCTTCTTCCTGCTACAGCCGCCATGATCAGAGCTGGGACAGAGCTTTAGTGACTGCCCCTCTGCCTGTCTCCTGCCTCAGTCTCCCCACTGCATCCGGCCGTCCCACGCATCACCTGTGTCTGCCTGTCGAGCCATGTTGCTGGCATCTGGGTGCATGAGGGGTGCTCCAGGGGGCACCGAGGGGCCCACCGTCCCCCTTGCCCCCCCCCCGTAGCTCTGACGCTACCAGAGCCACCAGGCCCTCCTCACTGTGGCTGTGGGGTCGTGTCCCATCATGCTCTGGGCCACCGTTCCACCTGCAGGGCTGGTGACACCTGTCTGGGTTGTGTCCATGTCTGGGGCGGAGGGAGGGACGGAGGCAGTGTCTGCTGCGTGACTGTGCGCGTCTTCTTTTTTGGGGACGGAGCCAGCCACCGGCCCTAACCCTCCCCTCCCTCTTCTCTCCCCAACGCAGAACGTGAAGGGCCCCCGGAGCGGCGCTGACCCCTCCCGGACACACTGAAGCGGACACGCCGCCACTGTTCCATCTCCATGTCTGCCGCTTAGCTCGCGCCCTCCCGGCTACCCCAAGGCCGAACGAAGCCCGGGACCTGCGGAACGGAGGAGGGGCGGTGGGGCCCTGTGCCCGGCGTGGGCCTGCCGAGACCCCGGACAGCCACACGGGGCCCTGGCTCCTTGCCTCGAGCCGCCGCAGGCCCCTCTGCTCTGTTGGCCCCCCAGGGCGGGGTCTAGCCCTGGAGACCCTCCCAGATGCCCGGGAAGACTCTGAGCCGAGCAGGGGCCCCGTCTGCTGTGCTGTCTCATCTGTGTGATCCCGGACCACCGAGGTCGGAGCGGGAGGCGACATTGGCTGCAGGATCCCGAAACGGAAAGAGGCCGGATCGTAGCCAGGGAAGGGCAAGGCGCGTCTAAGAGCTTTCACGGGGCCTGGGAAGATGCCTCGTGTGGAGCAGACCTGGACGGCTGCAGGACCGGGGCATCTCTTCTGCAAGACGTCCCTGTACCGAGACTCCCCCGGAGGCTGAACGGACACGCACGCCCCTTCCCGGCCTGTTTCTGCCTCTGAAGGAGACGTTTTCGAGGCCGCGCTGGCCTCGTGGGTGGAAGGAAGCTGCTTTGTTGAAATGCAGGAGCCGGGGCCTCCCTGCCTCCCTCTGCCAGGGAGCCGCAGGGTCTGCTCTCTTCTCCCCGGGCGTGGAGGTGCCCGAGACTCTCGCTGTCCGGGAGCGGCTTGCGTTCACACTTTGTCACGGCAGGATAGCGCTGGGGTGTCATCCAGCCCCGGAGGCTCGGAGCCTCTGAGTGCCCACGTGTTGGGGACGATCGGAGAGCTCGGATCCTCGGGTCCTTGCAAGACGGCAGCGAGGAGAATGCCCGGCTTCCCTCCCTTGGGACTGGCTCTGTCCCCCCAGTGTTCCTGGTGGGGACAATCTTCCCAGGCAAGGCCTTGTCCCCGGGGCTGTCTGGGGTGAGCCTGGCACCCCGGGGAGGTCACATTGGCCTGGCTTTCGCCTGCACAGCATCTGTGTGACACTTTTGCGGCGGCCGAAAGCAGAGCTTACCGGACGTGCGTCCTGATCACCTGTCTTTTCTGCCTGTTGGTTTCTCCTCGTGGCCTGGAGCCCCGGGGCAGGAGGAGGGGGGGTGCCTTGTGCCCGGAGGAAACAGTTTGGAAACTCACGGTAGAGTTTGTCCAAATGACCCTTTTTCAGGATGTCTCAACGCTGGTGCCAAAGGTCACTTTCCTTTCCTGCCTTCTGCCGGGGAGCCCCAGACCCTTCTTCCCGCTCAGGGAGGGGACGGGTCCTGGGCGGGTTGGGGAGCTTAGAGAGGACTCGTTTCCCTGGTTGGGATGAGGTAGGAGACGGGGCCGCGCTTCGTACGTTCGGGGTTTCCATGGGAACCACTGGAGTCCTCCCTGTCCACCCCGACTCATTGGCAGCCTGCCCGGGAGGACTCATGTGCCTCTGTCCCCTCCCGCCATGTCCATGCATCGCCAGGTGGCGTGCATGGCCGGTGCCTGCACAGGTGTGCGTAGATTGGTCCTACCGTGTTTCCCTGAAAATAAGACCTACCCATAAAATGAGCCCTAGCAGGATTTCTAAGCATGTGCGCAATAGAAGCCCCACCCCGAAAATAAGCCCTAGTGACGGGCGTGGCTGCGCAGCGCATCTGCACAGCCCATGTGTGTCGTCGCGGAGCGGGAAAGAAGACGAGCAGCCCTTCTCATCCGCCCCGTGAGAGCTCTGTTGCTCGACATGAGAGATTGGGACCGACAGCTCTAAAGGAAATAAGAGTCGCAACACATTCAGGATGGGATTCGGGGTTTGGAGAGTGAGGATGATGTTCCAGAAGATGACAACTTAACTCTATTTGAATAAATGTAGATGGTTGTACCGTCCTTAAAAAAAAATAACACATCCCCTGAAAACAAGCCCTAGGGTTTCTTGTTGAGGAAAGATAAATATGAGACCCTGTCTTACTTTCGGGGAAACACGGCATTTCCCAACAGGCAGGGGGCTCGGTGAAGGCCTGTCCCCTCTCCCCTCGGACTGCGTACACGTGAATAAAGGCTGTGCCTGACGGAGGAGGACTTCAGCTTGGGAGGGGCCTGGGCGGGGGTGGGGGAGGGGATCTCGGAGACGGCGCAGCCCTGCCGCCCGTGCACGCCGGCGCGCGGGGCCTGCCTTCCGAGGCGGCCTCCGGTTGCAGCACGACCGTGGGCAGCAGTCCCAGGACTTTTTGCTTCCGCAGGTTCTCTTCCCCGCCCGCCCCGCCGCCGCCCCCCCCCCAAAAAAAACACACAAAAAAACGAAAACTGGGACCAATATCTCGAACTTTGCCTATGTGTTTTTGGGTGGGTCTCCCCCTCCTCCCTCCATCCCGAGGCTGCCCCGGGCAAAGCTCTCCATGCTGAGGGGGGAGAAGAACTGTTGGGAACCACAACCAATGACATTTTCATTTGTAATACTTGAAATTTATTTTTTTATTATTTTGATAGCAGATGTGCTATTTATTTATTTAATAATGTACGGGGGAGCCTGAACCCTAGAAAGCTGTGTGTGTGTGTGTATATGTATATATGTAGATCGGGTCTAGCTGTTCCTTGGTTTGGGGGCCTTCTCCGTGTGACCCGAGACTCCTCTGTGCCCCGTACACTTGTCCGGGGGGCCTGGGGTGAAGCCCTGTCAGCTTTCAAACAGGGGACGCCTTCCGGAAAATTTGTATATTTTGCCGTTGCCAGACCAATAAAATGCCTGGTTGAAATACACCCCGGTGAACGAGCGCCTGTCATCCTTTCCTGGGGGGGGCGGGGGCGGGAGGGACAGGGGGTGGGGTGTCTCTAACTGACGAGTACGGTCAGGGCCCCACCCTGCCCCCGGCCGGCCGCTGCGTCACTCTCCTTCCCACGGGACCTGGGAGCAAAGACCCTCTGGCGCTGCATTTGGGGAAAGCGTGAGCTGAGTCGAGTTTCGTTTCCTTGATAGACTTCTTTCGCCAGGGTGGTTTGGGGCTGACAGTAGGGGATGCAGAGAGAGCTGTGCACGCACCACCGGTCCCTCCTGTTAGAGCCCGCACGAGTGTGGGACGTGAGCCCCTCCCGGCACAGGGTTAGGAAGGAGGGCGCGGGGTTTACATGGGGGTTCACGCTTTGCCGTGTACGTCCCGTGGGTCTGACACGCGCGTCATGCTGCCAGTCTGCTGGTGCTTGGTGCAGAACGCCAGGTCACCGTGTGTTCCCACCGTCCAAACCCTCCCCAGGCCTCCCCGACAGACAGCATCGGTCCTTCTGGGTTCCTTTCGCTTCCCGCCCTCCCCTCCCCTTCCGTCCCCTTCCCAGTTTCCCGTGGGGGGTGGGGAGCAAACCCGATTGAACTGCCCTGGCTTCTTCGCCACTCAGCGGTCACAAAGGGTTCAGCTACCGTGTTTCCCCGAAAATAAGACCTCCCCATAAAATAAGCCCCAGCAGGATTTCTAAGCATGTGCGCAATAGAAGCCCCACCCCGAAAATAAGCCCTAGTGACGGGCGTGGCTACGCAGCGCATCTGCACAACCCATGCATGTCGTCGCGGAGCGGGAAAGAAGACAAGCAGCCCTTCTCGTCTGCCCCATGGTGACAGCTACTATCCCAGAGGTGACCAGAAAGTTGCGGGCAGCCCCACCAACAAGGTCGGCTCCCCTGTCGGGTCCCGGCCGTCCTGTGCATGCTGCAAGCTGAGGCTTTGAGGGGGAAATAACAACACATCTCCCGAAAATAAGCCCTAGGGTGTCTTCTTGAGGGAAAATACATATAAGACCCTGTCTTATTTTCGGGGAAACACGGTAGTTATGTCACGTGGGCGCTTCAGTGTCTTGGTGGCCCCAGATGGGGCAGGGCGAGGCCGGGGCCATGGCACTGGGGGAGCCCGGAGCAGTTCCTTCCTGCAGACCCCACAGCTGCATTCCAGAAACAGCCTCCACCCTCAAATCCGTCCGTCTTCGTCCCTTTTCCAACCCAAGCTGCGAAGAGAACTGGCGACTTGGCACCTGCCTTTGGAGGTGACTTCCAGGGCTGTGATGGGTACGCGGCAAGACTGGGCAGAGCGTCTTGGCGAACGTGGGGCCGGCCCTCACGCTCTGGGCTGCGTGCGGCTGCCTGCTACGTGCTGGGTGCGGGGCACGGAGCACACGCAGGCTTTCAGGCTAACTACCCAGGAAATTCAGAGACGGCTCTAAAAGACGATGCATGTGTACATTTTAAAGTACTGGGCATTTGCCGGGCTGCAGGGACCTCCGGTGGTTCCGAGAACTTTCGAGCAGGCCGAGAGATTCATCCGAGAGGCACCTTGAGCTGGGTCTGCAGTCGTTGACTCAGTGTTGAAGAATCGGTAACCAGCCGCCTGGTGTCGGAGCCAGGGGAGGGGCCGGGGCTGGGGGTGGGGCATGGGGCCAGGAGGAAATGCATTCAGGTACTGAGGCCCCGAACCTGAGCCAGACACCCCCGGTGGCTCTTCTTGCCCCGAGAACCGCACGGGCAGTTGCCCGGGAGCAGATGGAGACGCCGTCACGCCAAACGCTAGCGGCCGCAGCACTCGGGCCTGTGCGCTGGTTTCCTTACCTGACCCCTACAGGTGCCCGTAGTACGGATGGGGAGGTTAGGGGCTCACTGAAGGTTAGTAATTCGCCCGAGGCCACCTGGGACGCCAACCCCAGGGAGTCAAATCTGGGCAAATCTGTGACTCTGAGGACCACAGCTTCCACCTGGGTGACACCCATCCTGGGTGTCTCTGCAGGTGCATGGGTCAGCCGTGGGTCAGCCGTGGGTCAGCCGTGGGTCAGGCAGGTCAGCGTTAGGCTGCTCACGGAGGGGCTGGGAGGTGGGCTCTGTCCTTTGTTGCCCCCCGTGGTGGCAGAGCCTATAGCCGGGTCCTCTGTCCAGTTGGTGGTCAGGTGGCCAGGTGGTCCAGCGTCTGCAGGGGGACCAAGAGAAGGTGGGGCCTTGTCCCCCCATTGTGGACATTCGCAGGTAATGCCCCAAGCTCCTCTTGGGAGTTGTCCCCCCATGAAGAATCCTGCCGGCCCTCCTGAGAAGTGGCAGCAGCTAGGTGTCCTGTGTCTTCCCGGTGAGCCCCTCCCGCAGCTAAAGGGTGGGTCTGAGGGGGGGAGGGGTGCTAGGCAGGGAGGGGGAGGGGGTGCTGAGGCAGGGCTGGGGGTGGTGAGGAAGGCCCGCTGCCCTGAAATGCCCTCCACGTGAGACGGCATGTGGCTGTCCCTCTCGTCTGGGCCAGGACCCTCACGCCGGGGGTTCTGTCCAAGCCGGGGCTGGGCCCTGCAGGAGCCACCTGCCCAGCTTGGTCTCAGCTCACTCTGCACTTGGCCCGGTTTCCCACTTTCCCATCAGCACTCTTGAAGTTATTTTTTACTTGGAATTATCTAATAAACAGCACTGGGAGACCTGGTGAGATCTTTAGTGGGAGGGGGAAGCTAATTAGATCATAGCACCGTACCATACACATAAACCTATGTGTTTGAAAAACAATCAGAGTGTTAAAAAAGAGAAGAATATTGTCAAATAGCTAGTTTTTAGATGGGGAAAAGACCAAACTTAAAAGCAATAATAAAAAAAAATACAAAAGAATCACTGAGATTCCACAATATAAATGTTTGATAAGTTCAAAGCCATCGAAAACCACCGTGATACACATGTTCCTGGCAAAAAAAAAAAAAAAAGAAAGAAAGAAAAAAAATAAAGAAGAAAGAGTAAATAATATAAATTTAAAATTAAAAAAAAAGAAAGAAAACCACCGTGAGCAAAAGGAAATCATAAAGCTACGAAAATATTTGCAACAAATTTGACCCTCCCCCCCACCAAATTATATTAAAATATAAATTGAAAACACACCTAGAGTGATAAGAAAAATGCTGAGAGTCCCGTAGGCACCTGGGTGACGTTTGCAACCTTTTGGAGACTGAGGACAGGTCGGTGGGATTGAGGGCCTCACCCGGGGCCTGCAGGTGCCGAGAGGCGGCCCAGGCTGGACGTCGGCCCCGTCTGGTCCAAAGCTGCGCCTGAATTAGAGTCCCCAGCTGCAAACACAGCGATTGGCAAAGTGCAGACATGGGCCCCTGCGAGGCAGCTGTTGCATTTGCAAATCGGCGTGTGAGAGGGCCCAGATCTGGGAAACACTTGGGCGATCTGTGTGCAGTTGGCCCGTGAACAACGCAGGTTTGCATTGCACGAGCCCAGTCCCAGGTGGATTTCCCTCCGCCCGGGACACTGCGAGACCAGCCCCTGCCCTTGCTCCTCCTCCTCAGCCTCCTGCTCAGCCTCTTCCTCAACCTCCTCAACCTCCTCCTCAGCCTCCTCCTCAACCTCCTCCTCAGCCTCCTCCTCAGCCTCCTCCTCAACCTCCTCCTCAGCCTCCTCCTCAGTCTCCTCCTCAGCCTCCTCCTCAGCCTCCTCCTCAGTCTCCTCCTCAGCCTCCTCCTTCAAACTTCTTCCCTCAGCCTCTCTTAAAACCTCTCCTTCAGCCCCTTCCTTCAAGGCCTCCTTCCTCAGCCTCCTCCTCAGTCTCCTCCTCAGTCTCCTCCTCAGCCTCCTCCTCAGCCTCCTCCTCAGCCTCCTCCTCAACCTCCTCC